ATTGAAAAAGAGACACATTGCATACATATATATATTTTTAATTTTAAAAATTTGGTTTTGACTCATTAATAATAAATAAATAACAAATCGAAGTAAAAGAATAAGAATGCAACAACAGACGTAAATAGTAATTTTTTCATAAAAAAATTGAATGGCTATTACACCTTTATGTAGTCTCTTTCATCCGATCTACATCTACAAATAATAATAGTCATTCTTCAAGGTAGCAATTGAGTACGACAAATTGGGCAGAAGTGACTTGTCTGCAACCAATCAACAATACAATTTTCATGATAGACGTGCGAGCATGGTAGTTGTGACAATTCGGATTTTCAGGATGTTTTTAATTTATTTTTTTGATTTCTAATTCTTAAAGATTGATTATTAGAGATATTGGGTCTTGAATTTAGGAATTGGTAAATCTTTAATTTTGTAGAGGTATAATATATATATATATATATTATATATCGTATGGTGCTAATGGGTTTGATAATTGTCAAAAATTGTGCATAGGTATATTATATTTTTTGATTGCATCTGATTGAAGTAGTGGAAGGAGAAATGGAGCGGAGGGCCGTGGCCGACTTTAGTAGAAAAGGTTTAGAATTGGTAATGTTTCATTGGCCGGTTTCAGTAAAGTTGCTTGATTTGGTTTTAGTGACCTTTATATATATATATATATATAAATGTAATTTGGTGTGATAATGGGCTGCCAGCCGAAGTGAGAGAGGAAAGAAGATTGAATTGGTGATGATGGGATATTGGCGGGTCCCATTCAATTACACATGCTGATTTTTTTTTTTTTTTTTTTGGAGATGCATTCTACATATATTTATATGTTCAATATCTGATAGCAAGCAATGGAACAGGACCCATTAACTGATTTGTTTGCCCAGAAATCTGTGGGCTTCACGTGGATTTGGTCTGATATATAGAAATGAGATGTTTCTTTTTTGGTATATTGAGCAATTTTTGTGTCTGTGGGATTGCCATTATATATTCAGTAGTGTACTGCACTAAATGAATACGGAGAGAGAAAATTAGAGAAGATTTATAAAAGAGAGTGTTTGAGGACACAGAGAGTGAGCTGAGAAAGAGAGAGTGAGCAGAGAGAGTTTGAGGAGACTGAGAGAGGTCCAAGAACTTGTAGATAGGTCGGAGCTTGAGGCTTTGATTATCTAGTGATGAATTTTTTTTTTTTAAGGTAGGGGTTTCTAATTCCCACTTTCTTGCACTTTTTTGAGTTTTTTTTAATTAAAATTGTTATTATGCATGCTTAATTTGAGTTGGTTGTCTCTTAAATAATTTAATTATGTATGTAAAGCATGTAATTATGTGTATTCGTTGATTTACATGGAAAACATGCCTAATTATTGATTCCTTATATCTATTGGGTGTTAACTTGCAAGAAATGATGTATGGAAGCATGTGTAATTTTTCTTAGAATTTCTTGTAAGGCATGCTTAATTGTGTTGTATGAAAATCCCTTATTATCATAGTATTGAAAGTATGAGACATGTATGCATTTCAGTGGGTGCGAATGAAGAGAAATTATTTAAAATAAAAGAAAAAGGATTTTTGGAAAGAATTTTGATGAAATGATTTTGAGAAAATTCGGTCGTCGCGAAGTCACCAAAGGGCCCAGGTGTTAATATGACCTAGAGGTAACTAGGGAAATCACTCTAGCGTGGTTGAGCTAGCTGGACCCCAAATGACGCCGCTGGGGTACCAAGGGTCAGGGACAGTAGCCAATCCGACGGGTTATATTAACAGTTTGAAAAGCGATGGATTTGAATTTTAAAAATGGGGAGCGACATACATGACATTGCATATCATGGCATGGCATTGTTTATTTGAAATTGGAATTTATGTTATATTCTTTTCCGGCAAAGCATGACCCCTATCCTCTATTTTTATTCATTATTTAGATTTACGGAGTCACAAGAGGTGTGTCTTAGGCACCACTTACTGAGCAATTTGCTCACCCCATTACATCTGACATTTTTTTTCAGGACTCAAGAAGGAAGTAAGAGATGAAGACCCTTCACAAACTTAAGGAGGACTATATATATATATATATATATATATATATATATATTGCTATCTTTTGTATATTTGCTACACTTTTGTAAAGTCTCAAAACCATAGTGAAGTGTATGCATTTTGCAAGCCATGGTCATGTATTGTAAACTATAACTCTTGTTGGTATTTTGTGGGGTTGTTGTAGACCCCTTTTTAGCGAAGGCCATACCGATTTTTTTTTATATATTTAATATTCAGCTTAGGGTTGTTACAGTAGTCAAGTAACTAATGTCATGCAAACAGTAAAACTGAACTTCTTGGAACACAGCATACACTGATCCATTGAACAACAACTATCAATCATCACCACCTTCTCCAATGCCTCAATGAATGATTTACTTGCTGGCATCCGATTGAAGAACGCTTTGTGGACGACTTCCGTTCCTTCCCCCACAGCCATATCGATAATCATCAAGGGCAAAGGGTCGTGAAAGTTAGTGGGAGTTGCAATAGTCCAAGAAAAGAGAGCATCTGATCAATCTTAATCTCATCAATCAAACCCAAGACTCCCCCCTCAACAAGGATGCGAGAGAAGAAAGAGCTTACAATATGATCATGTTGTAGCAGAACGCTAGACATGAATCGACAATAAGAATTCCGAATGTCATTTAGTAAATCTCCAGAATTATTATCGAATGATAGTTTAAGAACTCGTAGTTCCACGATAAATTTGTCGAGTCCCAGTCGTACCGAATCATTCCATGATGCAAAATCGTCCCGAGTAAGTGCTTCACGCAACTGCCATTCATAAAGCCTTAGATTACTTGACATCTTCAACTACTGCACTAATTATCCAAGAAATATATCAAACATGTATCTAACAAGGTGTGTGTGTGTGTGTATATATTGAAGATTTTGCTAAAAAGTAAGATAAAAAATAAAGAATTTATTAAGATCTGAATACGTATTTAAAATTTTAAATAACATGGAAAGAAGATCACTAACCTCACAAAATTTCAGAAGCAAATTATGCTTATTGGGTGGATCGTAGAATGGGGTATTAGGTCTAGAAAAGAGGAACTATAACTAGGTTTACAAAGAGAGAAATTTGAAGGGCGGTGAGGGAAATGAAAGCAGTGAACAAGTATTTTATTGGGGTAAGTGCAAGAAACATTCTTGAAGTATACCTTTCATAGCATTTTTACCTCCTATTTAAAAAAGATGTGCAAAAAATATCCCTATTCTTTTCAATTTGTACAAAAATACCTCTCAATTAATATAATACCCATTTTACCCTTTCACTCTTCCAAAAATGCCCCTACCGTGCCTAACTCTCCACCCCAAAACCGCAACCACCGTGGTAATGAAGGCCGACTCCTTGCTTAGAAGGCTGGAAGGCTGAGGGACTAAAGGAAGAAAGCTGACATAACAAAACAAAAGAAAGAAAGATATTCAGTAGAAAAGTTATATGTGAATGAAGCTATTATTAATCTAAAAGTCAGTTCTTCAAAAGTATCGCTGAATTTTCTTCTGCTGATTTAAGCATTGCATTGTATCTTGTGGAAACTTGCAGGCCGGAGGTTGGAGGGATAGGATTATAATTTGCACGGGTAAATGTGGGGCTACTCCATCTCTAATTAAGGCCTTCTTAGCTCCAGTGCCAAAGCTGTTATATGTCCATTGACAACATTCAATGTATCGAGTAAGTCTAGTGCTTTGGAGAATGGGAAGTTTGATATTGGAGAGGATGAAGTAGAAGACGAAGAGGAAGAGGCTGCCAGTCCAGGGAGTGATTGGGAAGATAGTGAGCCTGAGAGAAAGGTGGAGGGGTCAACGCGGTTTGTCAATTGTATGACTCATTGTTTCGAGAAGGTGCGAAAGTTGATGTTGCCCTACAACATGCTCTTCAATCACATCGGAAGTTGAGGTATTCGTGCCATCAAAACCACAAAAAGAAACGTTACTAGGGTTGGCATCTCAGGTCAGATATGTCTAGAGTTGGCATATCTAGTACAAGTTTTTGTCAGGCTGGGAACTATTTCATAAATGTTATTAAACCATTGAATGTTACCAAAATCTAAGTCTATCAATATTTAGTGTCAGAGGCCCATCACTTTTATGCAAAATAGAAGTAGCACCTATAGGTGTAGCAATATTATGAGGTCGATCACATAACTATGTGTCATCCCAGATAATACAATAAATGAACTAGACACAAATGAATGTATAGCGCCTGTATCAAATAAAACATGACCACATCTATTGTGTATAGGAAACATACCCTTAATAGCCTGAGGAGTTTTAACGTCTTGTGGTATGTGTTATACATCCTACCACAATGCAACTTCTGCGGTTCCTGTCCCTATAGGTCCCTCCAACACGTCAGAAGGAGCGAGCTTCCACACGGTTGATTGGACACAGATTGTGGCAGCTGAGAACTTGATGTTTTGGTCAGTTACGAGGAATTTCTGGGAGGCCTATTAAACCATTGAATGTTTCTAGTACAAGTTTTTGTCAGGCTGGGAACTATTTCATGTATGTTATTAAACCATTGAATGTTACCAAGTAATTTGTGTCAACATCAATGAAGTTCTTGAAATTGTTGAACCAACACAGGACCAAATTCAATTAAATCTTTTCTCTAATTCATCATTTCATCATGTTATCATATCAAATACAAGAATGCAAAACGAACACTGTATCCGGGTCAAACTGGATCAAGTAACACAACCAAAAAAAAAAAGGTGAAAGAAGAAGAATGCAACAACAGAAGTAAAGGAGTATTTATTTCATAGAACTATTACACCATATGAATGCTATTCTGCCTTATGCAGTCTCTTTCATCCAATCTACGTTACATTACGTAAATAATAATAAAAATATATTCTTGTTCATGTTGGCATCTCAAAGCGACAAATCGGACAGTAATTACTCAATTGCAGCCAATGACCAATACAATCTCCATAATATATTCTTGTTCATGTTGGCATCTCAAAGCGACAAATCGGACAGTAATGACTCAATTGCAGCCAATGACCAATACAATCTCCATGATAGACATGGGAGCATGGCATTCGAGTGACCAATTCCATGCCAACACCAAAACTAAACTTTTCCAAACATATTACACACTGATCCATAGAACAAGAACTATCCACCTCCACCTTGTCCAATGCCTCAATTGATGATTTACTTGCTGGCACGAATGTGTGGACGACTTCCGGTTCTTCCTCCACCCTCATTACGATAATCATTAAAGGCACAGGGTCTTGGATGTTACTGCGAGTTGTACCTGTACTAGTAATTGTACTCTTAATAATAGTACGAGAAAAATAGATCATCTTTTCGATCATAATCTCATCAGTCAAACCCAAAACTCCCCCCTCAAGAAGGATACGATTGAAGAAATGGCGCCAGATATCATCATGTCGCCGCAGAATGCCATAAGGCATGGGTCTAAGATAAATTTTCCGGATGTTATTTAGTAAATCTCCAGAATTATTATCGAATTCCAGTTGATGAACTCGTAGTTCCACGACAAGCTTCTCAAGTCCCAGTTTTACCATATCATTCAATGATACAAAATCGTCCAGAATAAGTGATCCTTCACGCAACTCCCATGAATGAAGACTTAGATTACTTGACATCTTCTTCAAGTACTGCACAGAAAAGTTCAGAGGTGAGAGATGAAAGCGGTGGACAATTCAGATTCTCAAAACATATTCAATTTTGTCTTAGGTGTAATTTGCTGGAATAAATAACAAATTGCTCGCCAGCCATCAACAAATTAAATTACACTATAAAAAAAAAATAAAAATAAAAAAAAAAAAAAATTCCAAATTTAAAAAGAAGAACAAACAAAAAATAATCAGATCCTACCGAAATTGGATTTGGAATAATCGTAATTATGATTTACCTCAACCCGATCAAAGAGAAGTATAGGTTGTCTTTGGCTTCTCCGAATGAGCAACGACTGATTTGGAGTTTAGATGGTAGAGAAGGGAAGGAAGAAGAGGGCAGCTTTTATAGTGCTCCGCTTTTGAAGAGAGATAACTTCAGAAAGAGGACAGAAACGCAAGGGGCCAGTGTGGTGTGTATATTATATAAGCTGTGTGACAATAGTCCAATACTAATAATACTAGGAAAACAATTGCTAATTAGATTTAAAATCCTCTTTTTTACCCTTAGTTATAATGTAACCAAATTAACCTTTAGTCAGGTAAAAATCCTTTTTTCACTTGGAATTTATAAGAGTCGTGGAATCCTAAGATTACAAGGAATTATATTTATATGGTAGTTTATAAAAAATAAAGAAGAATACTGGAATCCTAAGGTTTCCATCCTTTTTTTGTCAAATTTTTAAACATTTATTATTACTAGTCGCACATGATTAAATATTATAGTATTTAATATTGTGTTTAATAAGTATTTAAACATATAAAAAAATATTAATGTATTTAAATAATTTAAAATGGGAAGAGAAGTTAAAAATTTGAAAGTTGCTTTAATCTCTTTCTGTTTTTGTGGTAACGGGGGGATGAACAAAAATAAGAAAGAATTATAATTACAATCTACTCTGAACCACTCTTATCTCTGCCTGGTTGAGAAGCCAAAAAGGTAATGTCAATTTTATTGTTAGAAAACTAAGGAAAGAAATAATGAAAACCAAAAATTGAACATGTCTTTAACATAATTTTTGGGACATGGTTGTAATGAAAAGAGAGACGTCATATCCGGTTCAAAAAGTTATGAAAATTCTGAGGGTAAAAGAAGGACATTGATAAAGAGATGAACTACAATAGTATTGCATACAAATTTTTTATTTTATTTTATTTTTTTTTTTCTGGTTTTGACTCATTAATCGGGGAAAAAAAAGGAATAAGAATGCAACAACAGAAGTAATCATGATTTACCTGAAATTCAAGAATGCGATTTGAGACGGAGAGAACTATGGGTTAGCTTTAGCTTTTCCGAATTAGCTACTTAATTAGGTTTACAATGAGAACAAATTGAAGGCTGAGAGGCGGTGGACAAGTAGTTTTTATTAGGTTTTAGAGTGATAAATGAATTCTAAGGTTATAAGGAATTATATTTGCACGTCAGTTTATTAAAAATAAAGAAAAAAAATACATAATATTATTTATACTAGTTATGTTAGAAAAGGAACGAAACGAGTAACTAAACGTCTTATAAAAATAAATTAAAAAAAAAAAAAAAAAGTTTCCTTAAATTCTATATACGTATTTTATTAATTTAACCTCATTCCAAAAATATATTTCTCTACATACGTTGTCACTTATTTATTTTCATATTTATATTTATACCCTCATAAACATTGATTTTATATGTAAAAATATTATTCTCTAAATATTAAATATAATATACAACGTGCCCAATTCCACTCATATGGGCATTTCACGGCACACAGAATTTAGTACTGAATTTAACTGAAATACTAAGTGTAATTAAAAGAAAATTTGCTATCAACCCAAAATTTAAACTATATATTAGATGGTGTTATATATTCGCTCATTGAAAATGACAAAACATCTCGCTCAGCTATACAATTTTTATTGTGTTTGAGTCGCAACAATTTTGTGAAATATTATGAAAGGTGTGCAAATACTTACCTAACACAAGAAAAATAGGGTTCAAAATTAAATAAAAATAACAGTTGGTAGTACAATTGGTGGAAAATATACAACGCTGTGTTAAACACACAAAAAAAACTAATTAGAGAACACACAATACAATGGGAGATGGAGGTAGAATGGAATGATGGTGTTGGTTAATGAAATGAAGGAGATGGGGCAGTGAACATGAAATACCCCAAGACTTTGGTTTGCTTGGTAATTAGTCCCATGGAGAGCGAGCCAGAAGCTTTCAGAGATTCTGTTGCAGAGAGGACCATTTAATTGGTCGTGTGGCCATAAGTAGGTAGAAGAAGATCCATTGCAGGCCTTGCATTTGATGAATTGCGTAGCTAGGCCCTTTGAACTGAAGCCATCAACTTGTTTGCATAATCTTCAAATCCCAGGAACTCTGAGTCTTAACGAAGTAAGTCTTCACCCAAATGCTAGTATGATTTTTGGCTTAAATATTGTAGTGCTAGCAATTTTAGCTCCATGTTTTTTCAGCTCAGTTCCTGTCCAAAAAATATCTTCTGAAAATACAGTTAAGCTCAGTGATGACAGCTTTATGGAGAACAAAAATGCTAGACCAGTAAATATGAGTCCTCACTAAAACAGATTTAATCCAATTGTAGACTTCCTGCAGAGGAAAGATGCCTGCTAATTTTAACCCAAAAAAAAAGATGCCTGCTAGTCCCGTGACCAGTTCCAATCTCTTCCATGTTTGTTTCTTCTTCTTCTTTCACCCTTGGCTTCTCTTCCGCTTTATTGCTCTTGCTCTGAATGTACTCTTCCACAATCCTTCTCTTTCCTCATCTTTGGTGGCTTTTTGGATTGAGAATTGAAGCATGAGGTGGGTGTGGATCATTATCTTTATTCATGGTTTCATTGGCACTAGAATGGAAAAGGGATTTGCTTCTGATTGGTATGTATTTACATGGCAGTGGAAAACACTTTTTTTTTTTTTTTTTTTTCAGTTTTCATGATGTCCCATTGAATGTGGTAGATTCTTTTTTATCAAAAGGAGCTAAATTTAGCTGGATTTTGGGATTGATATTGGTTTATTCTGTGAATTGTTTGGTATGTAGAGCACATTCTTTTGCCTTGCTATTTGTTGCTTTATTTCCTATTAGCCGCTGGATACTGATACATTTCTTAGTGTTCTTGTTTTTATATTTGGTTATATTGGTGGCAGTGAATTTACATAAGAAAAATATCACTCTGCCATGCCTTTTTGTTTGTGAATGTGTGTGTGAAGTTAGATAGTCTATTAAGAGATTTAGTTATGAAGAGCCACTTATTTGGTACTGATATTGAATTTATTGTTTAATGTCAATTTTTTGAAACACTTGCCTGTTTAAGTGACATGAAAGGCCAGTGATTGAAAGTTGAAAGTACAGAGAAACTTGGCAATGAGAGTAGCAGTAGTCCATATGTTCTGTCAGTGTATGGTTTTACAACTCTTCAACCAGAAATTATTACATGGTCTCAGCCAACCATAACTTGACATGCAAGCAAAAATTTGAATAAAGCTGACGCTGATACATTTGCTTGTGTGTCTAGTTGCTATTTCATGGTGGCTATTTGAAATGGAACCAACATATCGAGTGGAAATGAATGGTGAAAAGCATGTTACTATATGAATGCCCTCACATGCTTAACAGTTTACGTAGAAAATGAAGAAAAGGCAACTATGTGGGTGGGAAGAGGAGTTAAAAATTTGAAAATTGCTTTAATCTCTTTCTGTTTTTGTGGTAACAGGGGGATGAACAAAAATAAGAAAGAATTATAATTACAATCTACTCTGAACCACCTCTTATCTCTGCCTGGTTGAGAAGCCAAAAAAGTAATGTCAATTTTATTGTTAGAAAACTAAGGAAAGAAATAATGAAAGCCAAAAATTGAACATTGATGTCTTTAACATAATTTTTGGGACATGGTTATAATGAAAAGAGAGACGTCATATCCGGTCCAAAAAGTTATGAAGATTTTGAGGGTAAAAGAAAGACATTGATAAAGAGATGAATTACAATTAACTGCTGAATAGCAAAACAAATTTACTCCCTTGGTTATGCATCTTTATTTGATGCACAAATTTCAGGATTATAACTTTATTTTCTTAGTTTGATTGCAGGGTGAAGAACTAAAGAAGGAAATAGGAGCAGTGGCATATATATATATATAGAAAGAGAGGTATTCAATAGGAACTATGTAAGGAGTGAACTAACAATGAAAGTCAAAAACTGAGCATGGATGTCTTTAACATAATTTTTGGGGCATGGTTATAATAAAAAGAGACATATCCGGTCCAGAAAGTTCTAGAGATTTTGAGGGTAAAAGAAAGACATTGATAAAGAGATGAACTACAATAGTATTGCATATTAATTTATTAATTTATTTATTTTTTCTAGTTTTGACTCATTAATCGAAAAAAAGAAAAGAATAAAAATGCAACAACAAAAGTAAAAAGATAGTATATTTTTTCATAGAACAATTGAATGCTATTACACTCTATGAATGCTATTACACCCTATAAGACGACTTGAGAGAGAGAGAGAGAGAGGTATAGAGAGTGAAGACAAACTGATTTTTTTTTGGTTGAGTTACTCTAAAATAATGCTTTGGTTACGTTAGAAAAGGAACGCTTTAGCGTTTACATACTTACCCGTGGTAAACAAGTAACTAAACATCTTTAAAAAAAAATACTAATAAGGGTGATTTTTGGACAATAGTTGGGCAGAATTGTCTGACCAGATTGGTCATTAATATATATATTTTTTAAAATGTGCTGGTTTTTTTTTTAATTTTTTTTTATACATATATATATATATATTTATTATGTATTGAGCAATTAAAAGTAATAATTCTAGATCTAAGAATTATGCCTATGTCCTCAGCTTTAAAATCATTTTACTATATATATATATAATAGCGTATTATAATTTAGTGTTTAGTGGTGAGACATTCAAAATTCTCGTGTCTGTAATTTTTTTTCTTCTTATGTGGACATGTTTACA